CTATAGATTGTGTACATTACTTTTCACTTTACTGCTTGTTGCACTCCTGGTTGGAAGCTAAACTGCATTTCGTTGTCTCAGTACCTGTAATCTGTGCAATAACAATAAAGTTGAATCTAATCTTGAGCAGGAACAAATGTATTTACTTAACATTTGTTCCTGCTCAAGATTAGATTCAACTTTATTGTTATTGCACAGATTACAGGTACTGAGACAACGAAATGCAGTTTAGCTTCCAACNTGAAAAGTGGGGGGGACACAAACGAGATTTTGAAAAGTGGGGGGGACATGTCCCCCCTGTCCCCAGTGGAAATTACGCCCATGAGTGCAAGTATAGTATAANATTCAATTAATTCTATATTTTATTCTATAGATTGTGTACATTACTTTTCACTTTACTGCTTGTTGCACTCCTGGTTGGAAGCTAAACTGCATTTCGTTGTCTCAGTACCTGTAATCTGTGCAATAACAATAAAGTTGAATCTAATCTTGAGCAGGAACAAATGTATTTACTTAGTACATATCTGACATTAACGAATATACACATTTGTGCATTCTTTATAAATGCAAACTGGTCAAGACCACTGACTGAAGTAGTTTTGAAAAGTAATGAGTGGTTCTGTCTTTTTCATGTAGGATTCAACCCCCCTTGTATTGATTTGTTTGAAAATGAACAGACACTCGAGTCATTCATTCGTAGTGATATAATAATTGTGGGATTTCTATTGCATCCACTTTATCTGCAACGAAGAACGCCAACGCAATTTCCGCCATTGCAAACCGAGTCAAGCCGACTCCGAGCTGTCCGGCTTTTTGAGACCTCCCCCGGCTGCAATCGGCTATTCTCGTCTACTTTCGAGGCGAGCCGCAGCTCATCTCAAACAAGCCTAGTGTTTACTCTGCAATTCACTTGTACTGTACTTTCACATCTAAACACAGAGAACCTCTGAAACTTCAAAATCTCTATTATAAAAAAAGAACATCATTTGAGATGAATATCTGTTAAATGTAATAGTCCTGTTTTGACATTCCCATGTAGGATGACCAAAAACAATGTTCGACAAGGAACAAAATGCTAATTTACCTAAGCCTGACTCCATTCAAATCTTTGTTGCTATCAATGGTTAGGAAGACAGTTGAGTGATAACATAAGGCTGTCTAAATGTGGTGAATTTATTATTGACCGTTGGTTAATAAACTAAAGTCACCAACAGATGGGGCTGCTATCTTAACTCTGTGTGTTGCTCCGCTGACAGGCGACCCGAGATAAAGCTCCGGTGTTGCTGTGGCTGCAGGGCGGCCCGGGTGGTACCTCCATGTTTGGGCTCTTTGTGGAACATGGACCATATGTGGTGTTTAAGAACCTGACCGGTAAGAACTGATCCGATACTGCAGCAGCATACATGAACTGTAATCCCTAACCTGCTCATTCTGAGCCCTGTGTAGTTAGTGTTGTAAGCCTTATCTACTGTTTTCTGATCTGCTCGTATTTTATGTGTTTGCAGTTGGTAAGAGAGATTACGCTTGGACATCCAGGTATTCAGTTTTGTACATTGACAATCCGGTACGTATTATTTTATTCATCATAAATCCTTTGTGAATAAAATATGTAATGCTCTGTCTTTAAGGAAGGGTTTTTGTTTTTCCAGGTTGGAACAGGTTTCAGCTTCACTAATGATGACCAAGGTTTTGCTCAGAACCAGGATGATGTTGGCAGAGATTTGTACAGGTAAGTAGACGTCCATCCAACCCAAACATGCTTGCATTTTGATCTAAAAGTCTGCTGTTTGATTGTTACTTCCTATTTGTATCTCTTCTTTTGTAGTGCTTTAACACAGTTCTTCCAGTTATTCCCTGAGTACCAGTCTAATGAGTTCTATGCAACTGGAGAGGTATGTTGTTTTTTTTAGCTTTGCAAATTAATATTGACAACATGTATATTAGTGGCTTTTTAACTTGTGCACGTTAAAGTATACGTTAATCCTAGATTAAAAATAAATAAAAGTAGTAAAGATATGTAGCACATTTTGGAAGATATTCTTAAACTTTCACGACAGAGTTTTAACCTGTGTGAACTTTCTCCATCTCCTTGCAGTCTTATGCAGGGAAGTATGTTCCGGCCATTTCATATTACATCCATAAAAACAACCCCACTGCCAAAGTGAAAATTAACTTAGTGGGGATGGCTATTGGTGACGGGCTCTGTGATCCAGAACTGGTACGTATCTGGACATTCTTTAACAACATCATCTTGACAAACACATTTTGAATGTCATCTTATTTCTTATCACATTTTAAATTGTATATATTGTTTATCTCATGCAATACAAGATAATGATAATAATAATAACTATTCTTTTATATATTTCTACACTTGAGACATCAACACACTTCACAAGCTGAACGTTTTTCACAGTTCTTTAGCTTCACCCCGTCCGGTGTTGTTGATAGATATACGATGAGTAAAACATTTCACTTGTTTCCATCTCAGATGCTGGGTGGTTACGCTGACTTCATGTACCAAACAGGCATGATAGATGAACTCCAGCGACAGTATGTCATCCAGCAGACAGACTTTGGGGTTAAACTCATCCAGCAGGAGAAGTGGGTGGAGGCTTTTCAGGTGAGCGATGCCTCTTACATTTGTCAAAATGCAAGACGGAAGTATTTATCATTGTTTGTCTAGATTTGCAATAACTAATGTTTAATGAATACGTCCCTCAAATGCTCTGAAACACACATGCTGACCATTTTCTTAACGTCTGACTTCAGGTTTTTGACAGCTTGCTGAACGGTGACGTGGCACCATATCCTTCCTTCTTCCAAAATGCTACCGGCTGCACTAACTACTACAACTACATGCAGTGTCGAGTATGTACAATTTCAAAACTTTTTATACAAATAAATGTCTTAATTAAAACAGTCTTTGCAGCATTTAGCCTTTTGTGCACCACAGGAGCCTGAAGACCAGGAGTACTTCTCCCAGTTTGTGACCCTGCCGGCTGTGCGACGCTCCATCCATGTGGGGAACCTGACGTTCCACGATGGGTCCGAGGTGGAGAAGCACCTTCTGCAGGACGTCATGAAGAGCATCAAACCCTGGCTTGGAGTGTTGATGGACAACTATAGGGTGAGGGGTCTGGGATTATCCATTGTGGTTCTGTTTGAACAGCAACTGAATATCTTTTTTTTTAAATCGACAAAACAAGACTACTATCTACTTTTGCCTTGAGAAACTGGGTTGGATATTTTTTCTGACATTACATAAACATAATTTGTTTAAAGAAAATGATTGTACGCTTGATCCATAATGACAATAATCATTAGTGGATTCCCCTTTTTGAAGGTCCCTCTACTACCTCTCTAATACTCTTTTCCCTATGTGGTCCATTCCTCCACACACCCAGGTCTTAATCTACAGTGGTCAGCTGGATGTGATCGTAGCAGCGCCTCTGACTGAGAGGTTCCTGCCAACCGTCAACTGGACGGGGGCGACTGACTTCAAAACGACTCCTCGCTTCCACTGGAAGGTCCAGCCCAGCGACACAGAGGTGGCCGGTTATGTGAGACAAGTGGGAGAGTTTTACCAGGTGAGCAGGCATCAATGAAAGAAGAAAAACAATGTGAAAAGTAGTGGGTGAACACCTATTTTAATCCTGCAATCTGTCCTCTTGTCACGCAGGTCATCATACGAGGAGGAGGACACATTCTGCCCTACGACCAACCGGCGAGGTCGTTTGACATGATTGACAGGTTCCTGTCGACGCGGGGCTGGATATGAGTTTAAGTGTTTTGGTGCTGAAACGCAGCTGATGAAAGCACATCCACTTTAGAGCATATTTTTGATTATTGACTGTTGATTTTAAACACTGAAGACTGTCTCAGGCAATGTAAATCAGCACGTGGTTGGATTTATAAACATGCAGCTGAGCTTTTTGTTTTTGTTGCAGAGGTGACATTTGGTGTGTGCTGCTCTTTTATGCACTGCAATAAAATAAGGTTACTCTGCCTGGATGCAGATGTCTGAATTCCTCCGATATCAGCAAATCATGATAAACAAATTGCCAGACTTACCATAAGGCCTGAGTTCAACATAAATGATTTGTCTTTTTTTTATTGTGTGAGGAAAATACTCCTTATGATGCATTAAATCTGTCCATGCTTGTTGATGAACTATAAATAAAAAACCCTGAAACCAGTTTGAAAAAACGTTTTATTTTTTCTAAAGCTGAGTGTCTTGATGTTTGGGAAACACTCGAATGGAGTTTGCAATTTGACAACCTTTTGTTAAATTGACTTCTATTACAGGGATACATAGATATGGCAGCACCTGTTGTTGAAACGGATTTGATTCATCAACAAAATGTCCACCAGGGGTCACTGTGCTCAAAGATATTTAATTGGAAAACTACAAAAACAATCATTTTGCTACCAAAACTTCTGAGGTTATTCAACATATTTAAGAAAAGTAAATGCAACAAAATTTACGATTATTTGAACTTGGGTCAAAAATCATTATATTACAAAAAATATGGATCACTATGTATATTGTAACAGTACACAATGCTTGTTGATTTCATTATCGAGTTAATGACACTTTGTGGTTTTAATATGTATTTAAAACACTGGAGTGTTCTCAAGTTTTAGTTTTTAGTTTGTTGTCATTATGCCTCAAATATATTTGTGTACTCGGGTTAATTGCCATGTTATGTCATCAACTATCATGATGTCTAGACAGTTCAATAATTAATGAGTATTCTAAACCTTTAAAGCACCTAACTATTTAATGAGCAGTTATGTCTCAAGGAAAAGCTTTGGGGAATTGCTGTTGATGGTTTGATGTCCACATTTGTGGTTTTTTCATTGAGTTCATTAAAGATTCTAAAATATTCAACATTTTAACTCTAGTTATCTGCACAAATAATAATTGTAGACAATAACTAAACACTAGATGATCAAATAAAAGTAGTTGTAACATCGAATCACATCAGTTGTATGTTACAGAACAAGTGCTTTATTTTCATACCGTAATGTAACTGCAGTGATACTTTAACATCTGTACAAATGCAAAACGAAATGGAGACAGTGTCATTATAGACACAACAAATGTACAAAGTTATGCAGGCCAGAATGGATTCATCAGTTCATTACATATAAACAATGTATTTAAGCGCTGAAATGAGCCTCGACGTACAACAAAAGGCAACAAGTGCTATGCGAACATTATTTACAAACATGTACCACACATTTACTCCCTTCAAAAAGAAAGGTGGTTGCATTACATGTACAGGATTACAGAAATTAAAGACATTATGTACAATATTTATAGTTAAAGATTTAAAATAATACAATAATAACATCATTAATACATAGGAATTGTTCTCCACCTCCCAAAAATCCACTCAGACTGCACTTCCATGTCCTTTTTTGTCGCCCTCTGCAATAACAAATGTATTTTTCTGAACCTGGACCCACTGTCAAAAATGAAACTAGAGACTCATGTCTAACTCTAAAAGAGCAACAAATGATTCCAGTTGAAAGTATTTTGAATTCATTATAATCATTTTCACATGCAAGAGGTTAATTTGGAACGGTCTAACAGTCTAAATATGGTTTAAAAAATAACCTAAAATAAGGCAAGCTTCAGTTCAAAGGGTTGGTACGACAAAGCCCTTTTGCAGAGAATCCATTTCTCTGTCTTATCGACACACACACACACACACACACACACACACACACACACACACACACACACACACACACACACACACACACACGCACACACACCCCAAGAGGCCTCAATAGTTAAAGCTTCAGTTGTTCCTGAAGGAGTGTGTTTCAACTCCTAGCTGCCTCACTGGTATCACAGTGTACAGTTCTGTATCTGTAACAGCATCGTATGTCCTGGGGACCAGAGTGGCTTGGCCATGCTGATCATAATGTGGACATACAGTAGAGAAGATGATCAATACTGGGATGTATTGCTAACATTTGATCATGTTTTCACTGTTGGGCTTGTATTTTATGACACTCTTTAAGAATACCACTGACAGGGAAAAGATTTAACAGTCATATACTTTTCTAGGAGAGAAATTACACTTGCTTGCATATTCCTGTCTCCAAGACATCATGGAGACAGTTTGACTTGGATTCAAAAGACAACTTTAAAGGCAGCCACATCCCACTCACTTAGAGTCTGTTGCATACTTTTAACATACTGTACATGACTGATATTCAGAGAATGATTTAACTTATCTTTCAGTCCATCAGGCTTACAGAGATCCGGTCCGCTAATAGAGAGGACATTCTGAGGCCTATGTCTCTGTCCTCTGGTTACATTACCACCGTGGTCCATTTTGTACCATTACACAACAGAGAAGTCAAACACTGCATGGGATTAGCAAAACATCCTTTTTGCTAAAAGCACAAAAAAAAGAGAGTAAAAAAAAGAAGCAACAAACATTTATGCGTTAATAGGGTGGGTCTATAAAAATACATACTGCAGCTACTGTATAAAGAACAGCCTCACAGGCCTTTGAGGTTTTTCTTGATGGAGGGAGATGGGGGGTTCAGCATTTGCAGCTGGTCCCCCTCAGAAAGCAGGGGAGTAGGGGGAGTTTGGGCCGGGTTTATAGTCTGTCTTGACCCTAGTGGATGGGGTTAATGTCTGTGCGGTGATTTGTTTGCCCGTGCACACTGCTGCCCCCTACAGTTATGGTGGAGGTGGTGATGGTGTTGTGCTGGATGACCTGCTGCTGGGAGCACGCTGGAGCTGGACTCCCCCCCGGACTGCTGTCTGGACCTGAGGAGACAGCAGAGACATCAATGAAGACGGACAGCATGTGAGTGGAGTAATATAAACACCATTACCTTCAAGCTCTACACACAGTCTTTAACGTGTGATGTGATACAGAAAATAAACGATAATGATACAAAATAAACACAGACAAATTGTCATTATTGTAAAACAAAAATACAGCTTTATTAGCAAAAAACAGATAAATGTCAAACACATGACACACTAAATTCACACCTCATCCGTCACCTGTCATCCCAAATTAGGCCATAAATGGACAGCACAAAAATGGAAAAGTGAATCACAACTCCATAAACACGCCTGATGGAGTTCGGACACATTGAAGGTGACATCTGTACACAAGCTAGACTCATCGATGAAAGTCTGTCCCAGCCCAGACTGGGAGTTGGCTCTCTTCTGAATAAAAGAACCATTCAGCCAAGGGGGATATGAGCCTTTTTTTCCTGCGCTAAAGCCACGCAGGGAGGTGCCTTATCCTAATTACATGAAAATGTCACTTGTATCCATATCAAAGGGTGGGGCTCTGATGTCATGCGTGGCTGAGCTGAGGCACAGTCCGGTGATCAGAGAGATTTTGAGGCATCCATGAGAGTTTGGATGCCAAAGTGCCGCTTGTGACGCCTTTCTCACGTCGAGTCTCGGCTGCCTCTGTGCACGGAGGAGGCGCAGTCAGATGGAAAAACAGGTCTCATACGGGATTCAGACTACCAACTCCCAGTCCAGTCTGGCTACCAGAGTGTGCAACACCCATGTGTGAAAGGAAGAGTCCTGCCGCGAGCGTGGGAGCTGGATACCAGCACATAGGAGTGAAGAGTCTTGGCAGTCACTGTGTGTCCATCACAGTTCAGTCTGTAGAGTTTAAATCTTTCCTCTGGCAAGACAATTAACATTTCCCCGCAGTGCTATCTTCACTGTCGGGCTAAGGCACATTGATGAATGTGTGTTTTCAGTCAAATTCCCAAATGTGTGTGTGTGTCTGTGTTTATGTCTGAGCTACTCACTGAGGTAACCTTGGGAATCTTTCTGCATAGTGGTGATGGGACAGTCCTTGTGTGTGAGGAGAAGCTGCTTGAGTTGGGTCACCTCGTTCTTTAGCATGGTCACTTCATTCTGAAATGCAGCGAGAAACACAGAAACATTTTAAAAAACGAATTTCAGGAGAGTCCACAATTTAAGCAGGAGACACTATTAGTTCACCAACTACTAGTATGAGTGTATCGCTATCAAACATTGTATTTATATATATTTATCATCCTCAGTATTCTTTTTTTATCCTGAATTAGGCTTTTACATTTTTAACTGAAAACCTGTAACATGGTGACTTGGTGTTCAACAGACTAGGGCCTTTAAGGCATGGAGGGTCCAGCAAATGTTGCTCTTCAGTTGCATTATGGGAAGTGTAAGATCCAGTTTTTTTGGAATAATGCACTTTTAATTATAACCATTTGTTTGCTAATGTCTTTCTTGTGTCTAAGTGTAAAAACAGGGTGTCTTGCAGTTCTACAAAGACAGCATATGACTTATCATACTGGACTCAAGTTAATAACAAGGCAACTTATCGCTATCATCTCTGGTGCAAAAAGGATAATAGTATAAGGTTCTTCATAAGGAACTGAAAAAAACACATGTTGAAGGAGCGCTTTGATATCCCCTCTTTCCCGTTTCTATACTGTCCTCAAAAATGTAAAAAACCTATATTCAATAATTGTGAGTGGTACATTTAGAAGTTTGGTACACCTAAAGTTCATAGTGTACCTGAAGCTGCATGTTGGTCTGTGTGAGTTCTTCTGCTTTCTTCTCTAATGAAACCACCCACACTTTTCTCTTCTGTCTGCATCTTGTTGCTGCTGCTCTGTTCCGCTCCAGAAACTTCCGCCGACGTTCGTCTGGGTCCTCGTCCACTACCCGCCTGCGCCGCCCGCCGCTTTGTGGCGGAGAATGCATTGTCTGCGAGGGATGCATCTGCTGGGTGGCAGGTGACATCTGCAACAGAAGGGGGAGGTATCAGCATCACTGAGCTCTATGATGAGACTGTCTGCCACCATCTCACCAGACCTGGAAAACAGCCACCTGTTTCACTGCCCAACAAGCATCTATACATTACCTCCTGCAGCCATACCAAGGTCTGGCAAATTTCCCCCCAAAAAAACATCTGGTTGTGCCACGTGCCCTGGGAGCTGGGCCGTGGGCGTCAGGGGTGACAGAGTGAGTGAGAGACTGGGCTGATTCACCAGCCTGCCCACCCCGTTAAAGAGGTGTCAGGAGGCAGTTTTCCACCGCCCACTTCCACTCAGACTAACACCACCAGACACAGTCAAAAGCCTTGTTTCTAAAACTGTACTTACACTGACAGATCTTGACATGTACTTGGCAAGGTCAAGTGTTTTCAGTCTTCAGATCATTACCATTTTATGAGAACCATGGAAAAAACAAGCAGCTTTAATGACCTCTGTGCATACAGTGAGTGTTTTTATAATGCCTTAATGATGCATTAGGAACATATAGTGAATTGCATTTCTCGATGTCAGACTGTCCTTCATCCAAAATGCTTAGCATTGCAGAGGATGATAGACAATGCAAGGACAAAGTGTCTCACATCATGTTTTTTCAAATGCTGTGAGCAAAACTAAAATTAAACCAAATATATTCTAAGCTAAGATGTTCCAGGACATTTAGCCAAGGCTGTCTGGTCATCAGAACAAACATTTATGAAACCTCTTCTACATCTGAAGACTATTGTGGAAACAAAAGGGCAGCTTGGCAGTAGATTATCGTGTAAAACACAGTTTTCCAAAGACATTTCAAAGCATCTCTTATAATGGCCACTTTATAGCCTCTTCTTGACCCTTGACCTTTATGGAAAGTATCCTACACTGACCTGTAGCTGATAAACCTCAAAGGGAAAATTATCTTTGAAATGGTTGCCACAAAACTACTTGGCATCATAGCAACTGCAAGAGCAAATGTGTTATTCAATTGTCTTACTGTAAGTTTAAAGCACTTTTATAACTATACTGTGCTGCTATATACTAAACGACTAATAGCTGACCTCAAGACTTCTCAAAGGGCTACTAAAGTGCTGCCTTGTTTTTTGTCACAATACACACATGATATACAGTTGCTTTCAGCTATATGAGGTTTTAATGCGTTATTGAACTTGCGGCTCTGCCTTTGGCTTTTCTAAAAGCTTCGGCTCTCTGGGGAATGTGCTTTGCTTACATGTGAAGCAGAGTGCATCGGATTGTGCGGTGAGGTCTGGTGTGGGTGCCCGGGATGAAGATGGGGATTGTGGGAGTTGTGATGGGGGTTGTGTCCCTGTTGGTGTTGGTGTCCACCCTGTCCGTGGCCCTGGCTGTGGTGGTGGTGTCCGTGGTGCTGGTACGCGTGGGGAGGGGCTTGCAGGTGCTGGTGTGGGTGTGACTGCATGTGATGGTGGGCGTTTTGCTCCTGCCGCGAGGACATCATCTCCATCATGTGACCCATGGAGTTCATGTTGCCGTTGGCGATGGGACCCGGGTGGTGTGAAAGTGCAGCCTTCAGTCTCTGAGAAGAAAAAATTGAAAGAAAACATATTGACATTTTCTTTATAATATCTTTAAAAGTTTGTACATGCTCTCATCCATCTGTGTGCTGATTATCAACAGTTACAGAGAGCTTCATGTGCTGACTGAGAGATGATGAATGGCTCCATAAATCCATATGTCAGGAGAACAAATCAAAGCCACTTGGGCTGTCCTCTGTCTCTCCTTCAGTCGTGTCATTCTCCCGCTTTACCTACAGTGATTGCCATCCCACCAATCCCTCCTCCTCATATTCCTAATAGCCTCCTGCTCCTTTATGCACATGTGTGTGTGTGTCTCTGGATGTCTGCCCGTGAGATGAGCTTGTTGGCGAGGTGTGAGCCTCAGACTTCTGCCTTACTGTTGACCCAGCAGGAGGTTTGTTGCTTTAACCGTGTGGTCTCCTTAGCCCTGACTGTACCGGTGTCTCTGAGCAGCCTGGGAGAGAGGCTCTGTGAAGGTCCACTTGTGTTCATGTGTTTACTGAATGCAGCTCTCCTCAAGAGTCTGTTTTTATGGGCATCACATAAAGACAACCGCAACATCAGGAAAAAAATCATAATCCAAACATACAAGTGCCAAAGTATGTCTTCAGGCTTCATCTAACGTACACAAACCTAGACCAAATTGAAAAGAAATCCATGTCCTAACCATTTCATGCCTTATTTACATTTAACCGCTTTAGGAATAACAAGTTGAGAGAGTGTTGAGACGATTGAATTTGATTAATGCACATGTTTTTCCCAAGTGCTGATGTGAATAAATAATGTAAAAACTTAAATAAATGCTAAAAGCCAGTCCTATATTCTGTCTATAATTTGTCTAGGTTTGACAAAATGTTAGTGACAAAACAAAGGCACTCATTTCAAGGCTACTGTTGAGAATTCCACAAAGTTTTCTATTCTCTTTCGCAGTGCTCTCTTTCCCCTCTCTGTGCTCCCTTCCCCCTTCTCCCAGCTGCTGTCAGTGAGTCCACGCTGTGTCCAGGGCTCCATATCTTTTAACAACCTCCACATTCATGATTCCCATAGGGAATGGCATCCAGCTGGTCTGGATCACAACGCTGAGACACGACCTGAGCACAACGTCAGCCCTCCACCCCTCTCACACACTGTTGGAGTGGAAAGCTTTTTCACCAGGAGGGAGGAGACACAGTCAAACAAATCACTTTAGAAGCGGGATGGTCATAAAAGAACATACCCTCCTGGTTTGTATTATATTTATAAAAAAATGCAAATATGTATTTGTCTAGGGATTACCTAGTAATTGTCTTAACTGTTCTTGGCTTTCCAATCCATACACAGCTTGCATGATATAACTGCACATGAAACCAGCACAGTGAAATTATGATCTTGCCAAGCCTGTTTTGACTGAGTATAGTTTCTGTTTGTCAAAGGGAAGCCTGACATAGTGGTGGAACAGCTCCACATTTCTGGAGTTACATTATTTTGTGTTTATCTGTTGCCCCACAACAAGAACGCCATTATACATTTGTTATCTCTTAATGGTAATCTTCAGCTCATCACACCCTGCTAACCACGTTCACCACAGCCCAACTCTATAAGGGGCCATAGCCCCTCCACTTTGACACCAGTAATACAGGGGTTAAAACACCACACTGTGTATACTAACACACAGCGGGGAGCCACAGGCCTGCAGCTGTCCACAGCATCACATTCACACTAAGACTCTCTGAGGGACATAGCTCTGACTTTCTGTAATATCATATAAGTTACACTCTGTATATTGTAATAGTTCTGAACTGTATATCTGTTCTTGATAAACACATGCAGAAATAACAAACAGCCAGTTTACATGCAGCTAAAACAGAAGAATTGATTTAAACAAGCTTACAGTTATTAATCATAGTCACCAGTGCTGACAAGGACATCTTCCGTGTATCACAGGAGGAATTCTTAAGGCTGACAGCACACACTAAACAACTTCCCTTCAGCCTTCAGCTTGTCAGTCAGCACCAGAGAGGTGAGGCCCACCCCTCTTGTGAAAGAGAAAACCAATCAGAGTTTAACAATCTCCTGCCACTTAGAGAAGGCAGTCACCTGAATGAACAGAAGCAAAAGGGACCTGCCCCCCCCCCCTCCCAGGTCTACTGTACTCTGCTTCTGAGGCCAGAGTAAAGGTCTCTCTGGGTAAGATGCTCATCTGGAGCCACCTGACTCTCTGCCAACACGACTCCCAGGGAGAAGGACAGAGAGGGTGAAAGGGAGGTGAAGGGGTGCAGAGAGAGAGAGAGAGAGAGAGAGAGAGAGAGAGAGAGAGAGAGAGAGAGAGTGGGGGAGATGATATGGCTCCTACTGTCTCCTCCCCGCACACATCAGCCCAAGACAGCTAGTGCTCATTTATCAGTGTCTCTGAGAGCTGTCCAGCTGGCAGTGCAACGCTATCTGTTTATTAATTGAATTAGCCGGCATCCGAAGAGGCCCGAGAGTGTCAGAGTATAGAGGCAGGTCAAAGAGCCGAGGGGCCGCTCCAAAAGCCTTACCAGTTATGGTTACAAGCATGAATAAGACAACATAAAAAAAGAAAAGCACCATGCATGTTTAGAGGATCATACCAGTTTCAAAAGACAAGTTGAAATTTAGATTGTTAAACTAAGACAGCATTAGGTCTGCAACTACACTAACTACATTTTCATCATCAATGATTCTGCATAGTTTCTTAATAATTGTTTGGTTAAGAACTCTAATTGTAAAAAAGGTCCATTGCCGTTTCAAAATCTCAAAGATATTCACTTTAAGGTGACAAGCTGACGAAATGATAGAGTGTTGGAGGGCTGGAAACAGCAATTTTGCTATTGTTGCAAGAAAAATGCTTTTCCTGTTAATGCAAATAGAAAAAGTACTGCAGGCGATTATTTTTATCTTGATCAACTATTTATTATATAATCTATTGCAACTCCTCAGAGGTAAATCCGAAGCGAAACCTATCCGATAAAGTAAATAAATCCCAGGGATAATAGAACATATAACGAGGAGAGACAACAGACTACTTATCAAAGGTTATGGCAAGAATTATATTAATATACTCACATTTTTAAGTTGAAAGGAAAACACGTAGTTCAGATTGTGTCAAGTGAAAAACCTTACCATGAAATATACTTGGTCCTGAAGCTACAGTATGTCCGTACAAGTGCCTGCTACTGCTCCATCTGGACTTGAGGCTCCAGCTCAGTAAACTGTCCTCGGCCAAAACTTAAGTCTTTGCATCCAGAACCACAATGACGCAACTACGGGACGTTAGAAGAGCGATGATGAGCAGGCTGTGATTCTTAAACACCTTCATCAGCTCCCTAATGACTCTTTAACACATGGTTGTATTTCCCTAGACTGCAGTGCACTAAGCAAAATAACTTAACCACCACGTTCATTTTACTCTAATAACACACACATACGTATACATTTCTTCTGCAGCAACATGGCCGCTACAGAAAACAATCATTAAATCAGTGCAGGTGTTAGCCTGTGGCGACTCAGGGCGCTCACACATGGGATGGCACACTGTCTGTCCTGCTGTTGCTGAGAATTGAAAAAAACACAGTAAAGACACATCAAGAAGATGAGCAGGCCATGACACCATAAAGACAATGTCAGCTTCTTCCAGGATACATTTATAAACAACGTGCATTTGACACTACATTTCATGCAGTCTGTAAGTGTACTGAAAGTAGTGAGCTTATTGATTTTCCATTGTTAAAACACCATCTCTGGTTTAGCCATCTTTTGCCCAGAGGGCGGCTGTTTCCTCTGACACCTTTGCCCTCTGACCTCTCCACTCCCTCTCCTCTTGTTCAGCCATTCTCATTTATGTGGTTTCAGGGATACCAGGTGATCACCCATTAATGATATTTATTAATGGCTGCCTCCTCTCTGACACGGGGGGCTTTGACTGATGTCCCTGTGAGTGCTCTGGGCACATCCTGAAAACACACTCAGGTTTGTCCTCGCCAGATGACTTCATATCTATTAACCCTGGGAGGATGAAGAAAGAGCACAGAGCAGGTACAAAAGGAGATGACCACGCCCGCCTCAGGATGGGTAAATCACACACAGCCAGGTCAGGGTGAGCACTTTTATTCCCCTTAAAAGTGGAGCAGTGTACTATCAGGGGACCTGTGGCCCTCTGGCGCCTTACTGCAGGTTGGAAAGATTGAACCAGTCTGTGGAGTCATTTTTTAAGTGCAAAACGATGACAGTTTCAAATGAAGATCTTCCGAGTCTATGAGGAAACATTAAAGCTTCTCTCTGTTGGTCTGCCAGCTTTTTGTTAATACTACACCAGCACAGTGATCATATTCAAGCACAGTCTGTGTAATTGAATAATATATAATAATTGTAACTTGCCCTGGCTCTATTTTCAGTGGGTCAAGACCCCCTAACTCACACTCTTAATCCGACATAGTTTCACCATCTGCAGTTAAACCAGGAGTTTTTCTCTTTTGCTTTGCCAAGCACTCAAAGGTTTTAAATCCATCCTTCCCATCTCCATCTCCCCTTACCCACCAGTGCCTGTGTGCAAAACCCTCTCTCTGTGCCCTAAAACTCCACACCCCCATTAGTTCCATTTTATTAGATTTCCCTCTCGCACAGAGAGGCAGTAACGCCCCCCCCCTTCTCTTTCTTTCCTCTCTGTCTTACACACACACCTCTTCCCTGTTCCTCCACCCCCTCTCTCTCTGCTTGCCAAGAGCTGGGGACTGTTAAACTGATTTCCTCGGGGAATGGAGAGGCAGACAGTCTGATGGGAGGGCTGTAATGCCGCCCCCTCTCTTGCCTCTCCAGTTCTGGGCCCGGCTGATCAGAGCCGGGGCCGAACAGACCCTCCCTGTGGTTCCAGACTCAGACGGGGAGATGGATACAGCCCGGCTGTTCTGCCAGGGCACGGCGCTCTGGTGGTGCTCGGAGGGGCCGTGGCAGTACGGTCGCAGCGAGACACACGCCCACTGAGGAGCATGCTCCAAAGCAT